TAATAAATATTAACAAGATATGTTTTTCTTTTATTTTTACGTGGTGTTGTTGTCGGAGGCGGTGGTGGTGGTGGTGGTGGTGGTGGTGGTATTTCTTTAATTTTATCTTCTAAAATTTGATTATCAGCTTTAACTTGTTTTATTTCATTATCAAGTTTTGCTTTTTCATTTGTTAATATTCGAGCAATGTTTTCAAGTTCTTCAATACGCATCTTTTTTTTATTATGTAATTCTTTTATTTGTTTAGATTCTTCTGCACAACAATTATATTTTGTGAGTAAAACCTAAACGAATATATATATACAGAGAGAGAGAGAGTAAAAAAAAATTTTCTTTCATAATTACTGTGTTTTTTTGTTCTAAATCAACTTGCTTTTGTGTACAACGTTCAACTTGTTCAGTTAATGTACGATTTATGTCTTGAAGTTGTTCAGTACGTCGTTTTTCAATTTGAATTTGAATATCATATTCAGTTTTTTGTTTTCTGAGTTCTGAACTATGTTGTTCTTCGAGTTCTTTTTCACGTAATTTAAGAGTATCTGCAAAATGTAATAGTTCGTCTAATGATTTATTAAAACCATCCATTGCTGAAGTAGTAACTACTGTTATCATATACTAATCTAGAAAATAAGATCAAGTTTTAATCAAAATCAATTTTATAAAAGTTTTTCAATTAATACAATAATATCTATTATGATCACCAAAATATAACGAATGCGAATGCTTTTTTTTCAATATCTTCGGAACAACAAAAGGTAGCAATCTGCGTTTTTCAGTATTTGAAATAGAAACATGTAGAAAGTATATCAACTTCCGCATCATTAGATTTCCTAATAATTACCTCGTCGTTGGAACTTGGACTTTCGCGTTAAAATGATTATCATTGGATTCTGATCGTTGATATGATCAATCGGTAGATAAAATTGTTCCTTTTCAATCTATGTAAAGTTATATAATTAGCTTTATGATTTCTTCAGAAGACGCTGATAAAAGAACAGCAAGCCGTTTC